ATATTATCTATTATATATATATATATATATATATATATATATTATAATTTAATTTATCACTGCTAATAGAATTTCTAAATGTTTCAGAAAAATATAAAAAGCAAAAAGAGAAAAAGAAAAATATCCATCATAAAAGGAAGAAAACATCTATGCTATCAGAAAAATAGCAGTAGCAATAACGGTCAATCTCTCGTACACAAGCCCGTTATCTAGCTCAGTTTCATTAAGCGTTGCAACGTAATTCCCCGTAGTCTCGCGATTAATTTTAATTTCCGGCGGGAGGGATGGCGAGAGCGGCAATGAACCGGTGTACGTCGATAATTAAACGATCGCCAATCGATCACGATATCTTTCGATCCATGGACCGTAAAACCTCCCTATCGACGATAACGCCAACATATCGGATCTTTTAATTGCGATCGGTAGCGTGCTATGCCATTGCAAATCACAAACGATCGTCCTCGACCCTGGTCAATGATCAGTCTGACCGATTCCTTCTGGTATCGCGTGTTGTATCTCTGATATTACCGATCCATCGATCTGTGGATCGATCATTTATGGCATACCTATCGTTTGCTGGTACGAAAATATAAGCGTTGGATATATGGTGTTAATCGTTTTCTAGTTTCGTTGGAATTCCAGAAAGTCAAGAGGCATCGGCGAAACGATTGTTGGCATCCGGTTCCACGCCTTTTTCGCGCCGATTATCCGGATCGTTTGGAATCGTGTTTCTCGCCTCGTGCCTCTTTCAGGTATTAATTACGAGTAGATAACCGAAAAAAAATATGGGATTATGGATCAAGGAGGGTAGTTTGCATACAATAAGAGTTGCGTATATATGATAATCGAAGAGAAAACGCCTTTCATAATATCAGTTTCCTAGTGAAATATCTGTGGGATATTTTGATTTGATGTTGAGGACATGGATTTTGATTTGTTGATCTTTTCTAACTCTTTTATATTTCCTTAGATTAAAAAGAAGAAATTTTATCAAATTACATCATGAATGTTTAATAAAGATTGATGAAATATAAAATATTAAAAAAAATTAAATTGAAGATCTTGCACATTCAGATGATTCAATACAATTCTAAATTTAAATATATTAAAATTTTCATCAACTTTATTAAATTGATTTATTCAATTTTTCAGAAAATATCATTAGAGTTACACCATCCCAAGATAATTTTGATTAAACTGTCATATTCATAGAATTTTCAATCGAGCAAGATTGATTCAGTTCCCAAGACAATTCCACTTCATCACTATTTCTCCTTCTAATTTAAATTCTAATAATTTCACATTACAGAAAAACAAGAAGAGATAAGCAAAAAAGATAGATTAAGGAAGGAAGCAGGAGAAAGCGATATCCTCTTTCTCCAGGATAAACTGACGTAACTAATCCCACACGGCGTTTTATTATCTTTCATTATCGAAGCACAAATTATAATCCACGAATAGCATTTGGCGTTTATGGAGGCAGTACCTATGAAAACTAACCTATACTCTTTATTCCTGGCGCATGTCGTCGAGACCGTCGTTGGATCGAACAATGCGTTCGTCCCACGCCGCGCCATGGTGCACTACCTCGTTCCACGCTGGATCTGCTATCTATGGGGCAAGAGTAACACATGTACTTAGTAGAAACGATCCTGTGGAGAACATTCTATGGAATCTAATTTATTGGCAAGACGATTGTGTGAGAGAGAACATATCTAGACAATTGATGAGAAATTAAGTTTGAATGGATGTTGTGGCATTTGTGGGCGTAATTGTATAGATTATTTGATGTCGTGGAAATGGAAGAATCATAGTTTGAGTTTTGATATTTGATGATTGAAGATGATTATGGAAGAAGGCCAAATATAAGTATTTAGAGGTTATGTGTGTTATTAGGTTAATGGAATGATTATGAAAATATTACAATATGAGATTGATTAAAAATTAAAGGAACTAGATATTGTTGAAAATAATTATAGGATCCATGTTTAAATATTAAATAGCTAATAATTATATATTATTGAATTAATGAAAAAGATATTTTAAGTTTATATAATTAATATATTGTTGAAATGTTTCATACATTGGGACATTATGAAATGCTGAATAATAAAGTATTTACATATATAGTTGTATATTAAGATATTTAGATATCTAGATCATGCATTTGGGTAATAATCATATATAGAAATGTTGAATTATTATATTAGGATAGATAGGTTATGCTACTAGGATAATGTGGTATTGAAACATTGATTGTCGATATATTTGATATATTGAAGTAATGGAATATGTATACTACATTTTTTATATATCAAAATATTGAATACTGAAATATTTATGTGCTGGTGCATTGAGGTATTTGCATATAGAGTATTGAAGTATTTTGTTAACGTACTGATTTGAAAGTATCTATATTAGATTGCAGTATTGGATTTTTACTTATTGGAATATTAGGATATTAATCTATATTACATATTCATTGAAATATTACAATATTTTGAGATTTATATAATGATTTTATTCTATTTTTTAACTTTAGAATGTATTGAATAAACTAAACAATTTATTTATCTAATTAAAATATTTTAATTCAATTTTAAATTTGTTATAAATTCTTATAATAATTAGATTGAAACATAACTCCGAGTGGATATGAATAACAATAAAAATGGTTACGATGGTGAGCGTAGAAGCAGTGCCACATCCTTTTTCGCTGTCCCTCGAAGGAGACGTTGTATGTCTCAGGTTTCAGAGTTTCGGGTCGAAAGCGACCGGTCTTGTTCGGGGATTCTGTGGTTTCCGCGACGCGGAAATCGATACAACGCGTCCAAAAGGAAGAAAGCCCCTGCGATGCCTTCGTCGTCGGGAAGCATTAGATCCTTAGCGATTGGGTTTCTTCGTGAGCAGAAAGAAAACGTTAGTTCAAACTTTGATCTCATTTTATTCGTTTTTAGTTTGTGGCGCCTGTAGCTACATATTATATTCTTTCCTATCTTCTAAATCAATGGAAAATTTAAATATCTTTACGATACCAAAATTTTTTTATTTAATTAATTCAAGAAAAATTAAAAATTAAGAAATTTATTTTTTCTTCTAAATAATAATATATATTAAGATAATAAAAACGAGACTATAAAGCAAGCTGTATATATGAAACACATACTTTTTCCCAAAAGATTTGAAATATTCATTTGTTCTATTAAGCTTAACAGTCATTCATAAACTCTTGCAAGCTCGAATTCCACCATTCAAACAACGATGACACATCAGACAGCATAAATCAACGACCAAATCTCGATATGTCCTGAATGTAACGACATCCCACGAACTAAACTTGTCGTTTTCATGATTCTCTGCACGTGCCATTGTACACGGAACATAACGTCTCGACGGATTTCTATGAGAGCGACGATGCGTTGCAATGTGTTGTGTCTGTTCCATAGTAAACGTGGGTCGTGCATTATTCCCTAGTAGACGGACGTTAGAGAAACGTATTTTTCATTGCGAAATCTTATTTGTGAAATGCGATTTACGCGCACGCATGCACCAATAGCATCGATAATCGCACGACGAACTTTTGCTTTTTCCTTTTTTCCCTATGGAAACGCGACCGCAAAAGAAGCGACATCTATAGAGTTCTTGGAGGTTTTCAGTTGTGCGATCCAGTAAGTGGATATGTCTTTCGCGATTTATTATTTTTCTCGTTAATATTTTGTTATAAGTGATCATAAACGTAATAATGTTTTAATATATATTACTATTCATTAAAACTGAAGTGTTTTTTAATTTAATTTGTAGTTTTTGATGTAGTGTCATGAATATAAAGTATATTTTATTCAAATCATGATTTAAAGGTTAGGATAGTGTCATTAAATAAACTTGTCAGAATGTTGATTTTGATCATATAAATACTACGTTTAAAAACTTAAATCGACGTCGTCAAATTTAATTTACATTATTTAGTACAACGTTTTTATTCTGATGATCCAGTTTTTGTGCAAGAAAAACAGAAAAACAGCTACTTGAGAGAAGAGAATCAGTCTTCAATTCTGATTTGTTCGTGAAAATGTACACCAGTATACGGATGTAATTAATGGTAAGCAGAGCATAATTAACATGACTGTCATTAAGCGAGCGTCATTGGGTCGAAACGTTTCTCTTCTAATATGGAATTTGATTAAAATTATGTTACATTTATTTTTCTTTCTAATTAAATGTTCCCCTTTTTGTTAACGCATCGTTCACGGATTATGTTTGTAGTTTTTATATTAAATTATCATTGTCTTTGATCTCAGTTTTTCAAAATTCTTCAATCCGTGCAATTTGACTCAAACGAAATATTATTATCTCTTCATATCTATTAAAAATCAAGTAATCTCGAAAATATCTCGTATATCCTTATCCATTAATATTAATTACTCCCTTCGATTTAGAAACGAGGTTGGTAGGAATGGAAAAAAGGTATAATAAGAGCACGTTTCTCATCTGTGTGTTGCGTACGATATTTACATTGTAACGGGGCGGACAGCAACGTGTCGACGACCTCGTATCTTCGGTTATACATTCCTGCTCGTCGAACTGCTAACGCGATATACTCCTAATTAGTAGAACGAGCCGTTTGTGCTTTATTGTTGCCGAGTTATTACCGTCGTTATTTTCTTGACTATGAAACACTTTTTGCCATCGAATCATTGCACTTTTTGACGTTATCAAAATGTTTTGCTCCTCGGATATAAACCTGATGTGTAACGGATTTTCAATTTTATTAGCGGACGAAAGTGGCAAGAAGGAATTTTATATTAATCTAATTGGTATGTTCGGATTTATAGGTGAGCCAAGACTTGTTATAGTTTTGGCTGATTTGAAGATTAATTGGATAAGTTGAGGTTAGGAAATTGAATATAAATTGCAAACATAAGAATTAATTATGTATTTTATGTAATTAGCATGTTTAGATAAGTGAATCAAGTTTGAGTTGATTAATTTGGAGATTAGTTAAATAGATTGAGGTTAGGAATTTATATTTTTAAAAAGATTATAAAATTAAGATTTTATAATATATTTATCTATTTACTGTATCATAAAAAAATTTTCTTATTAAAAAACATAATAGTATAGTATGAGAATTAGTTGGGTAAAAAAAAAAACAAGTAGATTTGTCGGTCGTCGAAGGAAGTTTTTTCGTCTAAGCGAGTGCAACGATCCCGTGTCGTTCAGAAATGGCATTTCAACGGCCGGTACATGTACACCTGCATAACGTAACCACGCAAATGTGTTCAGGCATCTAGTAAGTCGCGAACCGCTGCGGCTACTCGTTAAAATACACCTGATTACCGAACATTACCGTGCTGAGGGGGTAATGATCTCAACGCTTGCACGTAATAGAAATTGTTCGGACGAACCGGGAGACGTTTAGGACTTGTGTTTGAAATTTCTAACATTTTACCGTGGTGGGTTATTAGACTTAGATTTAGACTTTGAAAGTACATCCTCTACTCTTTATCATTGATTGCTACATTAAAATCTTGAAATCTTGAATGCTGGTAGATTATATATAATGACTATAATTAGAGGTTAGATTTGAGAGTTAGGTTATGTAAATTTAGAATATTTTCATTTTAATTTGGATTCTACGTTTTGTTTAATAATTATCATTGATGGAATAATTTAAAAATTTTTTCATTTCGTTATAATTTGGTCATAATGACATAAATTTTCTCAGAACCAGTCCAGAAACAGTCGAGGATAAATTTACATTAACATTCGCTTGATAGTTCGCGCGTAAGGAAGGTATCGTCAGTAAATAACAGTCGGTAAATAATTGAGCATCGGTCTGGCAAGGGTTAACGATCTCTTTGCACCAGCATGCGATAGAAATGGGTTTAAACGATGGAACGAGTACATTTGCGTGTCAAAGATCGCTAAGCGTCCTGCGTGGTCTATTCGCAGAATCGCCCTGTCCTAAAATTGCCGCTCGTAACCGCGCTCTCGTCGAGGACGAAAAATTTATGGCACGAAAATTACACAAACGACCGGTTGTAACGGCAATTTGGAAATTACGAATTCTCTCCTGTTTATAATAATTATAGACACGGAATTTGTCCGAATGGTGATTTGGACGTTAGTCTTTGAAGTTTTATCTCTTAACTGAAAAATTCTGAGAAGTTTTGAAAAATTCTTAGGATTTTAGAATTCAGAAGACCGATTTTGGATTGTAGAAATTGGATCTTGTAGTCTGGGATATTAGATTTCAATCTTAAAAGTTAGTATTGATAGACACGAAATTTTGTAAGATAGAGAAATTTTTGATTCAAAACTTTATTGGATTATATCAGATTTAAAATAAGTTCGAATTTTAAGTTGATTATTGTATTTAAAACATTTTTTTTTAAATAATCAATTTATAATTTTTATATTTATTGAGGATATCGTTCAATTTAACATCAAGTTTCTCACAGCCTTTTAAATTACGTCTCCCTCCAGAAATTCCGATAATTCACAACAATTAACTGACAAAAGTCAGTCACGTTCCATCATTTTTCCCTCAATTAACCATTCTTTAGCCACAAAAGCCACAGTTTCCAGTTTAATTGCCACATTCAA